ATCCCAGGAGCCTCATGGAGCAGCAGAGGTGATCCCAGGAGCCCCGGGGACCAGCAGAGGTGATCCCAGGAGCCTCATGGAGCAGCAGAGGTGTTAACAAATCTTGGATTTTCTTAATAAGAATCCAAACCATGGAGATGGCTCAGTGGGTAAAAGCGCTTGCTGCTCAAGCATAAGGACTGAAGTTCAAATCCGCAACACCCACCTAAAAGCCAGCACTTCAACACACATCTGTAACCCGAGTGATAAAAGAGATGACCACAGGAGGAGCCTGAGGCCTGCTGTTTAGTCAGCAGAGCCCAATCAGGTTCATTGAGAGGCCCTGTCTCAAAACATGAGGTTAAGAGTGCAGAGGCAAACACCTGGTATCAACCTAGGGCCTCTGAAAACACACATAGGCACGCTCATGGGCGCACACATACATACACACACACACACACACACACACACACACACACACACACACACACACCTCCCTCATTCACAGACAAATTGAAGTTCTCACTTTCCTTGACCCCTTCCTCATTGTAATTAATTTCCTTTTGAGGAGAGATCTGAACCAGTAACTCAGAAGATACTTTTCATTGCATGTTTTTTGAAACAGGGTCTAACATAGCCCAGGCTAGCCTCAATATCTGGGCTAGTCTTAAACCGGCCATCCTCCTGCATTGGCTATCCTCCTGCCTTGGCCATAACCTGGCACAGAAAGGTGTAAGAACAGCCTCAGAACAAGTGAGGTTACACATCCTAAACATGCCTTGCTTTAGCCCTCTCTGAAATGGGTGTGCAACAATTTGGGCCTCCAGGGAACACGAGGAGGTTCTGAAGAAATAAGCTAACTAGCCTGGAGGCTCATAATCATTCTAATTACAACAATCCCAAAAGCTGCCCCCCCCCCCCCCCCCCCCCCCGTTACTATGATTGCTGCAGGTATGTAGACTCTGCCTCTAGACATCTGGAAGCAGAGAATTATAAACACAGCAGCCATGAGCTTGTACACACCGGCCGATTTTCCAACAAGTGTCCTCCATCCATGAGGACACCCTGGCTTTGGCTTTAAACTCTTCAGGTGTTTGGCTGCCTGAATCTGTTGCAACCCAGTAGTAACCCTACTTCCTTAAGGCGACCCCAAAGAGCTCGGGAGGCGGGAAGAGGTGCGGATTTGGGTTTAGAGAAAAGAACAGATCTGGTTGAGAGGAGCCATGGGGACGGACACCCAAAGGCTGGGCGGGTACTAGGGCAAGGTTCCTCAGACCCAAGTTGGGCACACGCGGGGTGCACAGCCACAAGTCCAGCGGGCAAAGGCCAAGGTCAGCTGGCTTCGTGCAGGGCCAGGGCCACCAAACTCACTATTACTCCTTCCCCAGGGGAAAGATGATCAGTCTTTAGGGAGGGGACTCTACACAGACTCCAGGGGTGTCTTCAACCCTCAGTCCTTAGGGAGGGCGCTCTAGGTTGGCCGTGAGAAAAAGGGGGTGCCACAACCCTCAATCCTTAGTGAGAGTACTCTATCGCTGGGATGGTGAGATGGGTGTCTGTAACCCTGGGTCCTTGGGGGGGGGGGCAGATAGCTCTAAGTTGTGTGGGGCGATAGGAGGGGTGTCCCCAACACTCAGTCAAAAGGGAGCGCTCTCTAGGTTGATAGCGGCGGTGAGGAGGGGTGATCCTGACCCCCACTCCTTAGCGTGGGGGCTCTAGGTGGGCTGGGGCGATGGGAGGAGTGTCCCTGACACGCTGTGATTCCCCCTCACCCCAGACTTACCCTCTCCGGGGTACAGGTGGCCGGCTGCGCCCACCAGCAGCGCAGCCACGGCCACCAGCAACGGCACGGCCGTCGTCTCACGTCGTCTCCCCGAGCCCATGGCTGTAGGAGCGCAGGGACCCCAGCGATCAGAGCACGCCACGCCGCCCCGCTGGGGACATAGTCCGCGAGGAGGTCGCCGGAGAGGCGCCAGAGGCCGCGCGTCCTTTCTCTTCCACGCCGGTGGCTCGCGGGCCGCAGTTCTCCAATAAAGAGGGCCCTGGGACGGTCCCGGGAAGAGCGCAGAGGCCTCGGCTTCGACCAACGAGGCGGCGCGGCCCGCAGACGGCCCCGGGTCACCCAGGCACGGTCCGGTGCCCGCAATCGCAGGGTCCAGAGCTCACCGCCGTGCGCCCCCTTTCCAGGCCTCCTGGTCCTCCGCCCCGTGCAGCTCTGGGTGGGTCGCGTTCTGCGGGGTCGGAGACGGAGGGACGCGCGAACGGGCAGGCACCTGGGCTGGTGGCGGCGGCGGGAGCGAGGGCTCGGCTCCGGCCCGTAAACAACGCGGCCCGTCAGCTGGGCCCCGCGCGGGCCGAGGGAAAAGGTGGCGCGGATTGAGGCTGGGAAGGGACTGTGCGCTCCAGTGAGGCCCGCGGAGGGGACAAGCCAGCCGAGCGCGGGGAGGCGTGGCCAGGGCTTGCAATGCCACGCCTCCTTGCCTCCTCGTGTGGAGCCCCCAACTTTGGAGGCCCGGGGCGCACCCCAGATTCTCCCAACTCCGACACCCCAAAATGCCTATTTAAAAAGGTTGCGATTTAAAAGCTTGGAAGTGTCCCCAGATACTAGTCTGACATGAATCCCCTAAACAACTCTGAGACTCCCATGTCAGATCTCGGGAGCTGCCCAGCTCCGCGCCTGACTCGAACGCCCCCAAATAGCCCCGAGGTTCCAATTTTAAAACCTCGGGAGTCCCAGATCCTTGCCTGAATCGAACACCACTAAACAGGCCTAAGGTTCCAATTTAAAAGCTAGGAACGTCCCAGATCCCCTCCTGGCCTCAACAAACCCAAATAACACCGAGGTTCCAATTTAAAGGTCTGGAGCGAGCTCCAGATCTCCGTCTGATCCGGACACTCCAAACAGCCCCGAAATAACAATTTAAAAGCCTAGAAACGCCCCCAAATCCCTCCGGACACGAACGCCCCAAACAGCTCTAAGACCCAATGTCAGAACTTAGGAGTCTTACTCTAACACCGTCCCAAGTAGCTCTGAGACTCCGATCGCAAGAGCCCCCAAGATGCTCCCAGATGCAAGGCTCAACCAAACAGACCTTGTTTTTTACAGTTTTTACTTTTTTTTAATGTCTCCTATGGGGAATTCACTTTCTTTACTCTTGATTCCTTTTTTTTTTTTTTTTTTTTTTTCAGCCTCTACGACTAATGCCTGACTGGATTCCCCCAGTTGTGGAGCTAGTGGGCGCCCCACAAGTTCCCTCCCCAGTGAGCTCCCGCCCAGCAGCGTGGCCAACACCAGCTTCCAGGCCACAGCCACGTGTTCACAATGCCGGCCGCCTGTGTCCCCTGGCCTGAGCCTCTCTACGCAGCACTGGATTCCAGCGGAAATCAATAAAGAAATGACTCCTAGAACATAACAAGGCTTCTAGGAAAACCTTAGAAACTTCATATAGGACCTGAGTAGACGTGGTCCATTTTCAACGTGCATACCAGTAGGTGGCTGAATAAATGTCTTAAAAAGTCATTCACTAACATCCCTACCCAACCACCTTCAATGAAGAGCTGTAACCTTAGAACTATGTGAAGTCCAGAGTCTTCTATCCTTCACTTCTCGTGTCCAGTCAGATAGATTGCCACTATATCTGTAGCTGCTGACCTATGCAATGGGTTTGACAATATCTGTAAAAAGTAAAAATAAAATAGCCAGGAATAGAAGAAGACACTCAAGATTAACCTTTGGCCTACACACACACACACATACACACACACACACACACACACACACACACAGAGAGAGAGAGAGACAGACAGACAGACAGACAGACAGACAGACAGAGACAGAGAGACAGACAGAGACAGAGACAGAGACAGAGAGAGTGCTACAAGAAGCCAACCTGGGGAGGCAGGTCTTTAATCTCAGAAGGTAGAAGCAGGAGGATCAGGAGTTTGAACTTAGCCTGGAACGCAGGAGATCCTATCTTTAGATAGATAGATAGATAGATAGATAGATAGATAGATAGATAGATAGATAGATACATACATACATACATACATACATACATACATACATACATAGATGATACATAGATAGATACATAGATAGATGAAACAAAACAAAACAGTGGGGCTGATGAGATAGCTCAGCAGATAACGGCACTTGCTGCAAAGCCTGAGGACCTGAGTTCAATCCTAAGGTCCCACAGGGTATGCACACACACACACACACACACACACAGAGAGAGAGAGAGAGAGAGAGAGAGAGAGAGAGAGAGAGAGACAGACAGACAGACAGACAGACACACACACACACACACACACACACACACACACACACTAAATAAAAGTGTTTTCAAAATTACTTTTTAGTGGTGGCCTAGTGTTGGGGCATGTCTTTCTGTATGCTGTGAATATGTGTGACTCCCACTGAATAATAAATAAAGCTGTTTTGGCCTATGGCAAGAAAACTTACAGCCAGGCAGGATATCCAAGCAGAGATACAGAGAGAAGAAGAGCAGAGTCAAGAGAGATGTCAGCAGACCAGTAAAGGTATAAGTCATACAGTTTGTAATTAATATTAAGCCTCTGAATGATTATTTTATAAGAGGCTGCTTGAGCTTGGGTGGGAGAGATTCACCCTGACCTCGGGGCCAGGTGAGAACCGAGAAGCTTCCAACTATAGCCTAAGGCTGTGGTTCTTTGGTGGAGCACTTGCCCAACACACATGAGGCCCTGGGTTCAACCCTAAGCACCAAAAATCAAAACCCTTACTAGGAACTAGGAGAGTGGTTCTTACATTATGCAAAGGTACTCCTGCCTTAAAGCCTCACCCAGTTCTTGCCCCCAGTCACTCTTCCTGGCTGAGACTCTGCTCCAGTGAGCATCCTCCCCTGAGCACAGTTTGCAAACCCCCTTTGGTCCCTACATTCTCTTCCCCGGGCCTTTCCATCCTGTGTGTAGCCCTCCCTGAATTTCTTATTTATTATCTTGCTTGCCATTGCTTATCCGTCTGACCCCACGACCCCATGCCTGACATACCCATTGGCTAATAAATATTTGTTCAGTGGGAGAATCAGCACGCCGCTTGTAATAAGGGATTCCCGGTACACAAAGTCAACACGGTGTGTTTCCTTGTAGGGTGGGCATGTATGTCCTGTGTTGTGTGTTGAGGGAGGGAGTAGATAGAGAAGCACCTGTGGGAGAAATATTGGAAACTGAAATCTGAAGAGAAGGATGTCAGCCAAGAGAAGCTGGGAGAAAGTGTCCCCGTGAAATGAAGGGCTTGTGCAGTGGCCATGGGGCTTCCAGGTGGTGTGGGTGTGCAGAGGGGAGAGGAGAACCTGATGTCATAGGTGGGAATGAGAAGGTGCAGATGTTCAAACTTCACATCAGGGTGTGCTTGACTTGTGTGTGCGTGTGTGCATCTGTGAAGGTAGCATGTGCGGGGTATGTGCAAGCACACCTGCGCTTGTAGAGGCCAGAGGTCAGCATCCGGTGTCTCCCTAGATCAGTCTACAACCTATTTTTGTGGACAGAGTCTCTCGCTGAGCCTGAAATTTACCAGTGAGTCGGCGAGCCTTGGGGATACTTCCACCTCTGCCTTCCAAGCTCTGGGATCACTGGTTTGGACCACAACCCATGCACCAGTTTTCTATATGCGTTCTGAGAATCTAAACCAGGTCTCCATTCTTGGGAGGCAAACACTGTACAACTCAGCCATTTCCTCAGAGCCAGGTTTGGGGTTTTGAGGCTGTTGTTGTTTTGTTTTCTTTTTTGTTTGTTTGTTGTTTTCTTTTCTTTTCTTTTTTGTTTGTTTGTTTGCTTTTGAGATAGGGTCTCACTGTGTAGCCTGAGTTGTTATTGAACTCACAGAGATCCACCTGCCTCTGCCTCCCAAGGGCCAGTACTAAAGGCATGCACCATCATGTCCAACCTTATTTTTATTTGCAGGGGTAGGGAGGAACATGAGCCCAGAGATGCTACAAGAAGGAGTTGTGTCCCCTGGAGTCAGGAGCCGGGAAGGTGGCTCAGTGAGTAAAGGCATTCGCCACCAAGCTGGACAACCTGAACTCAGTCCTCAGGATCCATAGAGTGAAGAGAGCTGACTCCCACAAGCTGTCCTCTGACCAACACACACACACACACACACACACACACACACTGTCTTAGACCTTGAATAATCATCTAGCTTAACTTCTGCCTCTGACCCAAGTAACAGGTAAACTTTAAAGAAAAAGCCGTTATCAGCACATCTCTGGCTTCCACCCACCCTAAGACTAAGACTGCTGTAGACCATCTCGCACCCCAAGAGATTTATTTTTGTTATTGGGGCCTGATTATTTGATGTTACTGCCAATGGAATTGGCTCACACAATAACCAACAGCTTGTTTCGCAGAGATGGCTTGTTGCCAAACATGTGGACCTGAGATCCCTAGAATCTACATAAACATGGATGAAGTAGAGTGCCCCCCTATTATCCAGCAGAGTGTCCCTCAATTATCCTAACACTTCTACAAGGAGATGGGAAGTGGAGACTGGAAAAATCACTCAGAAAGGCAAGGGACAGCTAACCTGGCGTCTTCCGCGGTAATTAAGAAACTCTGAGCTACCGCAGAGAAACCCTGTCTCGAAAAACCAAAAAAAAAAAAAAAAAAAAAAAAAAAAAAAAAAAAAAAAAAAAAAAAAAAAAAAAAAGAAACTCTGTCACAAATAAGGTGGAAGGCGACCATCAACCGCCCTCTGACCGCCACGTGTGCACAGTGGCACATACGGTCACTCTTCTTTGCTTCACAATAAACTGTTTCCTTATGTGCGTTCAGAGTCTTACTTTGGGCCAGAGCTGGAGCTCAGGTGATCCAGTGACTGTGGAGCATCCAAGAAACCCTGGGTCGAGTCCTAGCAACTCTACCCCGGGAGATGGGTGCACACTGTTGATATCAGCAGGAGGATCAGGAGTTCAAGGTTATCCTTCACTACACAGTAAGTCTGAGGCCAGACTCCTAAAAACAAACAAATAAACAAAAAAAACAGCTGGACCTGGTGACTTGTCATCCCAGCTACCGAGGAAACTGAGGCAGGAGGATTGAGGTTCAAAGACTACCTGAGCTTCAGGGCAAGTTCAAGGCCAACATGGGTAACTTGGTGAAACTCTGTCTCAAAAGAAAAAGTGGAAAGAGGGCTGGGAGTGTAGCTCAGTGGTAAGACACTCCTCTAACCCTTGGGTCAATCACGGCGATGGAAGGAGAGCATTAGTAGCTTTAATCTCTTCGTTGGTGACTGATTCAGACAAGAGCTGTCCATGAGGGCGAACGGCAGCGGCATCACCCTTGCGCCTCTGTCTTCAACATGCAGCCAGTGACTTGGCTTTGTGCTGAGAGCTGCATCATTAGGGTTTTTTATT